AAAAACAAACATTCAAAACACCTACGCGCGTGCGCCGCGTGCGCATTTACAGTGCGCTCTTTCACTGCATGATTCAGTCTATTAAAATACATTCACAAATTCAAGCACTTCATATAGTTAATCAATTTCACACGGAAGTGCATTTTTTTTCTCCAAAAATTACCATAGGCCTATACAAATGTAATATTGATTTTTTTACAACAGTTCAATCAACTAGAAGTTTTATTAAGAGACTTACGTTTTAGACACCATATTGCCTGTTTTTGCACTATTTCGCCAACAAAAATAATTCCAAACAAAACCACAGCGCTGTTTTGCGTCTTTGAGCAACATGACAGTGTTTTGTTCCCGAATGAATCAACGGTTTAAATGATTTGGTTCATTCGTAATGACTCACTTATTAACAGTGACTTGCTGCCACCTACTGGTAGTTTATTTGAGAAGTATGTTGAAAAGTATGCATTTTTCCCCTCAACATTTCTGCATGATTCAGTCTATTAAAATACATTCAGAATGATCACAAATTCAAGACATGGGGGCAGAAAATGTGTATATTTATACCACTTCTTATAGTTAACTAATTTCACACGGAAGAGTGCCTTTTTTCCCCTCCAAATTTACCATATACAAATGTAATATTGATTTTTTTACAACAGTTCAATCAACTAGAAGTTTTATTAAGAGACTTACGTTTTAGACACCATATTGCCTGTTTTTGCACTATTTCGCCAACAAAAATAATTCCAAACAAAACCACAGCGCTGTTAAATCTCAGTGATGCAGTTATTTTGTGGGGATATTTTGTATGGAATATTGTCTGCTGACATTAAAAGTTCACTGCATATCGTAGTAATAAATATAATTTATTACAGCAATGATATTTTGTTTTCTTTTTAATTTAAACACATTAAATATTACATATATGTATGTAATAAATTGTGTATTTCCATTACAGGTTTAGGTCTTAAATTTCATATAAGGTGGTATTAAAAAGGTCTTAAAACGTCTTAAATTTAACTTGTTCATGTCTGTAGAAACCCTGCAAGGGTGGAGATTAGTGGCAGAGCAGAAGAACAGGTTTCTAAATCATCCGAGACATTCTCGTCATTGCAAAGGTGTTTCAGCTTCCCTGACTTGGTATGTACAATTATTTAAACTGAAACCTTGCTGTGATTTTATCTCATCTAAACATTGTTTGACCCACTTCAACTGTGGACTTAATAGGCCTGTGTGTGTTTTCATTTTTGTACACACTGAATTGGGTTTCAGACATGACTGCAAGATAGAAAGACAAATAAGAAATAAAACATTGTATTTTTTTTTAACTATCACGTTATTGATAATTGGGGTCCTAAATTTGCATCTGAATACTTATTAGTGTCCTCTTGTGTTAATGCCCCTCTGGGCATTCAGATTAATCCAACAAGCCAGAAGGGACAGTTTCAGAGCATTTTACATAAGCATTTTAAAAGATTTGAGCAAAAGACATAAGTCCATAAAAGAGAGGAGAGAAACATGCCCCTAAAACCCATTTTAAGGAACAAATAGGCATCTAGTCAACTTTTCAACTGTTTCAATTTGCACATAAGTTTGGCCCTCGGACCACTGATTTAATAAAAATATATACACAGATTTTCAAGAGGAATTTTCTTTTTTTACAGGAGACTTAATTGAGTTCTCAGTTAAGTTCCTGTTACAATTCTTTTAAGTATCAGCTTTTAGATGTTTCTTCTTAAACATATGAAGCAATCTTTGACAGAGAAAGAGCATAAAAATGTAAAATGTATGTGGATTTTGGCATAGCTCATATCATTTAGTGTCAGGAAAATCAGATGAGAAATGTTTGAAAAGTTCATTCTGAAATATTTTCATGTTGAGACTTCAGATTAAGTATATTGGAAAATCTGAGCAAACCTTGAGATGTTCGTCTTCATCAGGAGAAAACTGTAACAAGCCATAAGAGTTAAACAAAAGTCTAATTTTTCTCCCTATTTGATCTCATTGTCACCTGGATGAAACAACTGAGATATAATCTCATATCTCATTTGTCTTTCCTGTTGGGTTCATTCATATTTTGCTTATGTGGCATGATAATGACTAAACATTAATAGGCCTATTCATAACTCAAGCATGTAACTTTTGGCCTCAATGTTACTAATCAGCAAAGCATTTAAAGATTAGATTTTGTTAACAAGAAACAAATGTTATTTACTCAAGTTAAAATCATTTACCATTTTAACCCTTATTAATATTGTTAGCCTTTGACCTACACTTCCTTTAGCCATAACACATCTAGGCCTATAAGCAGTAGCTATTATTTTTCGTCATGTGTGAAAATTATTTCAAAATCAAAGTAGTATGTGGTGCTTTTCACATGTTTTCAGGTTTTTTTTCTATGTAATGTAAATTATTATGCAACCCATCGATCAATGCACTTTCGTGCCGCTCCCTGTGTCTATGGGCCGTGCGTAGGTTTGTGTCTTGCAGTTGGAATCTGGTTGTGGCCGATCTGACATCCCAGACCGGACCAACAGGTTTCGGTGACGCCCAAGAGCAAAAACAGTCAGGTATAAATTAAACGTAAGGAATGCAGACCTTCAGAAACAACTAAGAGCACGAGAGACGAACATACTACTCTCGAATTAATCCTCATAAACCAGCAAAATGCAGATGTCCGAGCCCCTCAGCCAGAAGAACGCTCTGTTCACGGCAATGAACCGCTTCATCGGCGCCGTCAACAACATGGATCAGACGGTCATGGTCCCGAGTCTGCTGAGAGATGTGCCGCTGGACCAAGAGAAAGAGCAGCAGAAGCTAACCAACGACCCGGGTAGCTATCTGCGGGATGCTGAGGCCGACATGTACAGCTATTACAGCCAGCTCAAGTCCATCCGGAACAACATCGAGTGGGGCGTCATGCGCGCAGAGGAGCAGAGGCGCAAGAAAGACACGACAGCGCCGGAGCCTGTGCGCACAGAGCCGGAGAGCGACATCGACCTGGAGCAGCTCCTGCAGTACCATCTGAGGGGCTTGCATGGGGTGCTGTCCAAACTTACAAGCCAAGCCAACAACCTGACCAACCGATACAAGCAGGAGATTGGCATCGCTGGCTGGGGACAGTGAACTGCATCATGATCTATTGGGAGATGAAGAAGTATTCTGATCTAATATGATCTATTTTGCCTATGTGGAAGAGCCTACCAAAGGGACTGACCAAACAGAAGTTAAACTGTCAAAAGTTAAAATGCAAGGCAAACCGATAGGAGAAAGTGGGTTTGTTGTAGTATTGGTTTTGGTGTTGATCACTGACGTATTGTAAGGGCTGCTTCTTGTCTTATGGCATTTTATTTGCACTGGCAGTTTTCCCTTTTTTAAAAGAACAAAATCTCCGTTCAAATGGCTAGTTGCCATGCCTTATCTTGATATTTAAATCTATTTATGTGTTATGTATAATTGAAAGCTTTTATTTTTTCCATTCTTTTTCATTTTTTGAGAGGAAGGTTGTTGTCCTATGAAGTTGCTGTGTGTTCCAGAGGACTGATGACTTGAAGAACTGATCGTTTGTATAGTGAGAACTCCTATTGATGAAGCAGAAACCCTGTAGAAAATCCCTGGGGATGTTCCCTGCTAATGACCTGAAACTATCCCTGAATTATCCTGTGAGTCAATGATGTGGATGGCTCTGAAAATCACTGTGTGTGTGTCATGATGAGCTCCATGAGATTCTGTGTTAAATTGTGCCTAAAGGCCAGTATGATTGTTAAAAACGTTTGCTGCATTTTGTACTGAATTGTTTTTTTTTACTACAAAAAAAACTTTTGTAATTTAAAAACATCTAATGTGTGGTTGTTTATTCGTAATCATGCTAAAAAAATGCATAATCAATAGGCTTACACACACCCTGCAGTGCCTGTTTTACACATACTCTTCATTCCTTAGTAAAAGTTCATAATTTAAATAACTTTCATTTCTGAGACTGCGGATGGATTAGACATTAGACATAATGGCATGAAATAATAATCAGTTCTAATCAAATTTAATCTAATATTCTGTAATCTATTCAATTCCCATTTATCCATTATAATCCATTTTCCTATTTAGTATGCATTCAATGTTAAGTGAGACTATGAAACAGATTTTTTTCTTTTATACACAAGGCCTTTTTTTTTTTTTTTGAATAAAAATATACAAAGAGGACATAAATAATACACTTGTGCCCATGTGAGCAGACATGAGAAAAAACAAAAACACTTAAGTTACTTTAACAAATAGGCCTACAAGATAAATTGGTTTTGTGGTAGTTTACCATCAAATGTGGGGTTCTAATCTGTGAAAGATGCCAGTCCATTGGAGTCTCCAAATTTAGACGTGTGAATAAAAGTGATTACAATTTATTTCCAAAACACAATCATTTGAAAAATCGAAATAATATTTATAATCATATTTATATTTATGTAAACAATAGACATTATTATTGCACAATGCCTTCTAGGATAGCAAAGATTCTTCTTTTTTGAACCTAAACCTAAATAAACATTTTGACAAAAGGCGTGAACTGTCACACCATGTTCTTTGAATGAATCTAAATCACATCGCCTTCATGCTTCTTACCATATTATGAAAACAAAAGCAAAACATAACACTACATTTAAAAAAAAATCAGTGAACACATCAAAACATACTTGATCATATAATGCTGAGCAGTTTCATCCGTTCATTTTAATTAAAATAAAATCCGATTGTTACATTTCCTCATTCATCTCAGAACAATATAAATTGAAATAAATACAGTGTCGATATTATTTTATTATGATCTCACTGTATAAACAACAGCTTAGTCTGTAGAGATAATAACGTTCTGTCTCAAAGTTATTGGCAATGAGTTTCTGTGAAGCGGAAACGTCACCGCGTTTCGTCTCGCTGTCTTGTTTGTCCCTCTGTGCACTCCTTACGTGTCAATGTGGCTGTGTTGTTCTCATGATGTGTGCACTCCACATCAAACTCTTAGTTAGTAAAAAGAAAGAATAATTATGGGAGGTGAGCATCCACTTCAGGTTAGCAACACTAGCAGCTCCCGCTGTACTTTCTTCAACGCAGTGCCCGATGATTATCGACGTGTAAGTATAAACATGTTTTAAAAACTAATGTAATGCTAACTTGTTAGCCCTCATGCTAATCACAGCATGACATCATCCTTTCCAGGCATGATGATGTTCACTAATACTTTTACTGAAAGAAAGACATGAAAGTAAGATAGTATAGAGTGATTTATGACAACTTAATTTGAGTTAAACATTTAAAAATGTTTGTGGGAAATTCGTAAGATGAGTCACGGTGAGATAAGTTCAGTAAGAAATGAATCATTTATTGATCTGTGAGGGGACCCGACACACGAGGAGCAGGAAAACACCTGGCTGCGTACATTTCTTTGATGAAAAGTGTGTCTGAAAGTGTAAATCTGGGTACTGTTAGGAAAAAAATTTAAAGAACCAAGGCATTTATTTAAAAAAGCTATAAAAAAAACCGATTGCACTAAATGTTATTGTCTTCTTGGAATTAAAGTCGGCGCGTCCTTTTCCTTCTTGATTTCTTTCTTGATTTTTTATTAGATTTATGTGTGTGTTTTAATCCACAGGATGTGATTCTTAAGGTGAAAAGAGCCACAGGGACATTTTCACTAGTGGCATGGTGAGTCAAATCATATTGCACGTTGCTTCTTTGTTTTAAAGTGGCTTTTGAGCATTCTTAACTTTATAAAAATTCCCTTTTGTGTAGCCTTTTCATGCTGTTTGCAATATGGCTGCTCCGCCGATATAACTCTTTGGCTCAGGTACAGTGTGTTTTATGGTTCAAATGTTCGTTTGTTTGTTTTTTAAAAGAAATGAATACTTGTATCCAGCAAGGATGAATTAAATTGATTAAACGTGACAACAGACTACACTGTTTTACACACAAACCCCAAAAGAAATTCAATAAAATGCATTCTTTTTTATTTTGTAACTATTTTTTAAACATTTCTTTAAATCAAAGAACTCTGGAAAAAAGGTTTCACGGTTTTCACAGTAATATTAGACAGAAAATCTCAACATTGACAATAATGAGAAATGTTTCTTAAATAATCAGCATATTAGAATGATTTCTGAAGGATCATGTGACACTGACAAGTGGAGTAATGGCTGCTGAAATATAAATAAATTACATTTTAAAATATATTCAAACAGAAAACAGTTATTTTCAATTTCAATAATATTTCACTACATTACTGTTCTTACTGTATTATCGATCAAATAAATGCTGCCTTGGTGAACATAATATTGTCAAAAATGTTATAGACCCCAATAAATGCAGCCTTGGTGAACATAATATTAGCAAAAATGTTGTAGACCCCAAACTAGTAGTGTAATTTATGTAATTCTAACCAGTAATTTTCATATTCAGTCATATTGTTGATTATTATGAATTATTTGAGTAATATTGAAACTTTTTTATCTGTATTTCATACGTGTATGTCTTTTTTCCTTTGTCCTTCAGAAAATGATATTCAGTCTGACAGTAGCTGCAGCTTTTGACAGTGTTGCTTATGTTATGGTGAGTTGCACTGATTCCTTTGTGTGAGAGAGAGAGACATGTTTGGAGAGTAATTATCAAGCTAATGTATGTTGTAGAAAGGGAAATATTTTCTCCCTTTTTAATAACTTTATTTCATCGCACCTGTTGCTTTCTTCTCATCTACAGGGAGAGTCTCATCCAGAGGGGTCTCTGTGTAATTTTCAAGCCTGGTGGCTCACATATTTTGGTAAATTTGGCAACTGATTTAAAGATGTGTGTTCATACGTGCACTGTTGTGTATATGTAAAGTAACAGATAATCAGTTCTGAGATGTGATAGTAAGAGGATTTCTTTTTGGCTTTGATGTAACTAGCAGAAGACATTTGAATACATCAAATTCACAACACAAAAAACACATGCACTATGATGATATTTCTGAATAAAGTCATTTAAGTGGAAAGGAAGTAACTTTAGTGCTTCAAAATAGAAAGACGACATTCTGTATTGACACTGTGTCATAATAAACTGCTGTTGTAATAGTTATTATAGTTTTCGTTGTTTGTTTCAGACTGGACCGCACTGATGTGGGTTTGTCTTATTACATTTAATCTGTACCTGAACCTGGTGAGAGAAATCAGAACTGAACCTTACGAAATGTGAGTCACTACACACACACACACACACACACACACACAAATAAACACATTTAGTTGTGTATACATACAGATAGAGTGTTCCTAACATCTGCATTTGTTTCTCAGACCGTATCATTTGGTGGCATGGGGGGTTCCTCTGCTCATGTCCACCCTCCCCCTGATGGCTGGATACTACGGCCCCGCTGGAGCCTGGTGGTGAGTGGCCTTTGACTTTTGATATATTCTTAAGTGCAATCATATCACTACAGTCATCATCAGTCCTTTCTGTCTCATTGTTTTCCTGCAGTTGGATCACAGATAATCATGTCGGGTGGAGGTTTGGCATGTAAGTTTGTATTGTTCAGCATGCGTGTGAGTGTTTGCAGAAATGCATGTTGTTGCTAGGAATGAATTTGTGTTGGACGAATGAAAATATGTTATGAGTTGCATCATTTTTCAGAGGCTCACGTAGCTCATGCTATTTGAATTTCAGGAATTTCTGTTCCCATTCTGACAGGTTATTGTGCATGCTGGAGTTTTTAACAATGTTTTTCACCTTTAATTATGTCCAGTTATGCTGTGTTAAGGATTGTTCACACTGGCAACAAGTATATTTGGACACCTGAAATGCATGAATGTTGTATAATGTTTAAATGAATGCACAAGATATCTTTACTGTATCGGTTATCAGGCAATATTTAATTGATCAGTATCAGTCGATATTGAATATTTAATTGTATTTTTACATTTAGATTCTCTTTGCCGTCATTCAACAATCACGTCAAAGTAATCTTCAAAAACGTATTAACAGAGTTAAATGAATCAGTTTTTCATACTCTATCATTTTTAATTATTACAAATATGATATAAGATAATGATAATGATTAATACATTATATTATATATTAGAATATTGACCTTTTATCAGTTAGTGGCTTTAAAATGAAAATAATTGTTTTAATATTGTTGCATCCCTAGGTATTTATTTTAGGTAACACTTTATTTTAAGGTGTCTTTGTTACACGTTACATGTACTTACTATTATAATAATTACAATTAGTTATGCATAATTACATGCAAGTAACCCTGAACCAAACCCTAATCCTAACCATATAGTTAGTAGAAATTATAGTGTTCTCAAAAAACATTTTTATTGGCAATAAGTTTCTGTGGAGCGTAAACGTCACCGCGTTTCGTCTCGCTGTGCTGTTTGTCTTGTCCCTCTGCGCACGCCTTACGTGTCAATGTGGCTGTGGTGTTCTCGTGATGTGTGCAATCCACATCAAAATATTAGTTAGAAAAAATAAATATTAATTATGGGAGATGAGCACCCACTCCAGGTTAACAACACTAGCAGCTCCCGCTGTTCTTTCTTCAACGCAGCGCCCGACGATTATCGATGTGTAAGTATAAACATGTTTTAAAAACTACTGTAATGCTAACTTGTTAGCCCTCATGTTAATCACAACATGACATCATCCTTTCCAGGGATGATGTTTAGCAGTACTTTTACTGAAGGTAAGTCATGAAAGTAAGAAAGTATGGAGTGATTTATAATAAATTTCAGTTAAACATTTTTTGTGGGAAATTCGTCAGATGAGTCACGGTGAGATAAGTTCAGTATTGAATCATTTATTGATCTGTGATGGGACCCAACACACGAGGAGCAGGAACACACCTGACTGTTTAGATTTCTATGATAATGTCTGAAAGTGCAAAACTGTATAGTGTTGGGGAAAAAATGTAAAGAACCAAGGCGTTTATTTACAGAGAAAATAAAAATATGTGAAAGTGTTACTGAAAGGATTATTGAATAAAAAATGCTGATTGCACTAAATGTTATTATTGTCTTCTTGTAATGAAAGTCATAGCGCCTTTTCCTTCTTAATTTCTTTTTGTAGTTTTCATTCGATTTATGTGCGTGTTTTAATCCACAGGATGTGATTCTTAAAGTGAAAAGAGCCATAGGGACATTTTCATTATTGGCATGGTGAGTCAAATTATATTGCACATCACTTCTTTGTTTTAGAGTAACATTTGAGCATTCTTAACTTTCTTAAAATTTCCTCTGTGTAGCTTTTTCATGCTGTTTGCGATATGGCTGTTCCGCCGATATAACTCTTTGGCTCAGGTACAGTGTGTGTGTTATGGCTCAAATGTTTTTTTTTTAAGAAATGAATGCTTTAATCCAGCAAGGATGAATTAAATGTATTAAAAGTGACAATAAAAACGTTCACTCTGTTACACAAAACCAAAAGAATCAATAAAATAATTCAATTATTAATTCATTAATTTTAACATTTCACATCAAAGAACTCTGAAAAAATAATATTAGGCAGCAAAACTCAACTGACAATAATGAGAAATGTTTCTTAAATCAGCATATTAGAATGATTTCTGAAGGATCATGTGACACTGACAAGTGGAGTAATGGCTGCTGAAATATAAATAAATTACATTTTAAAATATATTCAAACAGAAAACAGTTATTTTCAATTTCAATAATATTTCACTACATTACTGTTCTTACTGTATTATCGATCAAATAAATGCTGCCTTGGTGAACATAATATTGTCAAAAATGTTATAGACCCCAAACTAGTAGTGTAATTTATGTAATTCTAACCAGTAATTTTCATATTCAGTCATATTGTTGATTATTATGAATTATTTGAGTAATATTGAAACTTTTTTATCTGTATTTCATACGTGTATGTCTTTTTTCCTTTGTCCTTCAGAAAATGATATTCAGTCTGACAGTAGCTGCAGCTTTTGACAGTGTTGCTTATGTTATGGTGAGTTGCACTGATTCCTTTGTGTGAGAGAGAGAGACATGTTTGGAGAGTAATTATCAAGCTAATGTATGTTGTAGAAAGGGAAATATTTTCTCCCTTTTTAATAACTTTATTTCATCGCACCTGTTGCTTTCTTCTCATCTACAGGGAGAGTCTCATCCAGAGGGGTCTCTGTGTAATTTTCAAGCCTGGTGGCTCACATATTTTGGTAAATTTGGCAACTGATTTAAAGATGTGTGTTCATACGTGCACTGTTGTGTATATGTAAAGTAACAGATAATCAGTTCTGACATGGGATAGTAAGAGGATTTATTTTTGGCTTTGATGTAACTAGCAGAAGACATTTGAATACATCAAATTCACAACACAAAAAACACATGCACTATGATGATATTTCTGAATAAAGTCATTTAAGTGGAAAGGAAGTAACTTTAGTGCTTCAAAATAGAAAGATGACATTCTGTATTGACACTGTGTCATAATAAACTGCTGTTGTAATAGTTATTATAGTTTTCGTTGTTTGTTTCAGACTGGACCGCACTGATGTGGGTTTGTCTTATTACATTTAATCTGTACCTGAACCTGGTGAGAGAAATCAGAACTGAACCTTACGAAATGTGAGTCACTACACACACACACACACACACACACACACAAATAAACACATTTAGTTGTGTATACATACAGATAGAGTGTTCCTAACATCTGCATTTGTTTCTCAGACCGTATCATTTGGTGGCATGGGGGGTTCCTCTGCTCATGTCCACCCTCCCCCTGATGGCTGGATACTACGGCCCCGCTGGAGCCTGGTGGTGAGTGGCCTTTGACTTTTGATATATTCTTAAGTGCAATCATATCACTACAGTCATCATCAGTCCTTTCTGTCTCATTGTTTTCCTGCAGTTGGATCACAGATAATCATGTCGGGTGGAGGTTTGGCATGTAAGTTTGTATTGTTCAGCATGCGTGTGAGTGTTTGCAGAAATGCATGTTGTTGCTAGGAATGAATTTGTGTTGGACGAATGAAAATATGTTATGAGTTGCATCATTTTTCAGAGGCTCACGTAGCTCATGCTATTTGAATTTCAGGAATTTCTGTTCCCATTCTGACAGGTTATTGTGCATGCTGGAGTTTTTAACAATGTTTTTCACCTTTAATTATGTCCAGTTATGCTGTGTTAAGGATTGTTCACACTGGCAACAAGTATATTTGGACACCTGAAATGCATGAATGCTGTATAATGTTTAAATGAATGCACAAGATATCTTTACTGTATCGGTTATCAGGCAATATTTAATTGATCAGTATCAGTCGATATTGAATATTTAATTGTATTTTTACATTTAGATTCTCTTTGCCGTCATTCAACAATCACGTCAAAGTAATCTTCAAAAACTTATTAACAGAGTTAAATGAATCAGTTTTTCATACTCTATCATTTTTAATTATTACAAATATGATATAAGATAATGATAATGATTAATACATTATATTATATATTAGAATATTGACCTTTTATCAGTTAGTGGCTTTAAAATGAAAATAATTGTTTTAATATTGTTGCATCCCTAGGTATTTATTTTAGGTAACACTTTATTTTAAGGTGTCTTTGTTACACGTTACATGTACTTACTATTATAATAATTACAATTAGTTATGCATAATTACATGCAAGTAACCCTAAACCAAACCCTAATCCTAACCATATAGTTAACCAAGTACATGTAGTTAACTAATATTACTCATTACTTAAATGTATAATTACACTGTAGCAAGGTCAGCTTAAAATAAAGTGTAACCTTATTTTACAGAAGGATAGTACAGGCACACTATCAAGTTAACACTATCAAGTGTCCAAATAATTTTTGAGGCCTCTGTTTGTGTATTTTCTTGTTTGAGATGTAAAGTATTCTTTATTTGCAGATGGTACATTCCTCTGTTTAGCCTGATTATCCTCATGACCTGCTGTTATGCTCGAATCATCTGTGTGGCCAACGAGAGGGTGAGTGAATGTGATTGTGAAAAATGGTCTCACTACTATCTAAATTTGATTTCATGGCAACATATGCTGTCTAACCTAGGTGTGTAATTAAAATTCATTGTAAACAAAAAGCTTGATCTCCTCCCTGTTCTCTGTTAATGCTGACTTACCACTGTATGTCTGAAAGTGACATTCCACATTCCAGAACATTTTGCACGTCTGGCAGATTCTGACACATACTGACGCAATGAATCAGCTCATGTACGTGCAGACATCTGTGTACTCTACACAGGTCTTACTGTGGTACACTAAGCAGTGTACATTAAAATATCACGAAAGAGATGATTGGATTTGTGCCGGAGCAGCGCCGATCAGCCATACAAAACATAATGATCCATGCATACGGAGTATAAATGCATGTCTAAAATTGCTGTATTTATTTCAGATGCGTTCCTGGTTAGGCACCTTTAACCCAGAAAGAGAGAGGAGGAAGGTATGTGTGCGTATATTTATTTGTGTATGTCCAGATGTAAAAATTCTGCCATCTACTGGTTCATACATTTGTGTATTATTACTTCTTCCTGCAGATCTCTCTAGCTGAAGAGATCAGACCGTTGAAGTGGTATCCCTCTGTCTATCTGCTCGTCTCTATCTTCCCTCTCATAAATCGGTAACTGTGCATTTTCTCACCACATCTTACAGGGATGTAATTTTTCTGTATAAATACAGATTTCCTTTTTTTTGACCTGAAGTCCAAATTTGTAATAGAGAGTAAATCAATCAACATAAGAGGAGCTTCAAGGTATCTCAGCAGTTTTACACCAAAATAGATGTTTTGTAGTTTAACAATGGAAAGCTAAGAAATGAAGACCACTATAAATATTATTATTGTAATTTTACTGTTGTTCCATGAAATAGAATTATTATTAAATACTTATTGCAATAATAACATATTTCTTTATTGGTTTAATTTTCATAATTTTATAATAAAATAAAATTATTGTTATTTATTTATTTGGTTGTTGGTATAGTCATATTGAATGGGGAAAAACTTTTTATTTTTTCATCTTTTTTGGCTCACATGCTTCATACCTTTGGGTGCATTTTGTGCATGTGTGTCTGATCTGTATGTGTGTTTCTGCAGACTTCATAATGCTGCTTACCCAGAGCACCCTGTGTTTTCTCTGACGTTATTGCACGTGCTCAGTGCACCCTTGCATGGGCTTGCAAATGCTCTTGTCTTCGGTAAGGACACCTGGAGTCAGCTGAGTACAACAGGAATAAAGGTACAGTTCATGCTCCTTGGTCTCAGTCAATGGTCATGTGGTTAGTCACCTTAGCTTTCTGTTTGATTTCAATCTCTTGTTCATGTAATGTTTTCTTCAGATGGCTGTCCAGTCTCGGCTGTGTGACAGCACAATGATTGGAGAGTACCATGCTGCAAATGTAAGATACACACATGACCTCGATACACACTCCGATTCTGATGATGAGGACAACAACATCCTATTTTACAGCCCGGACATGATCTTAAAAGATAGGGGACCCTGGGAGAATGTTTAGAAAGTGTATGTGTGTTTGTTTGTGTGTGTGTGCGCGCACATATTTTTACATTCTTTGCCTTTAAAGAATTTCTATCAGTGTTTCCGTGTTGCAGCTTTCATGTTGACACTTTAATTATAGCATGTATTATTATAGTTGGAAAACAGAAAAGAAAATGGTTGATAGTATGTCTTCCTTTGCCGTTAATGATGGGTAGAAGCATAAGATTTTTTGTACTGTATTAATGTGGAAAATCTTTCAATCAAGCTGTTTACCGCCTCAACATAATGTTTGTTGTATATAATGGAAATAAAGACTGCCTTTTCTATTTCATTCAGCTGAGTATTTCAGACATATACTTTGAAAACATTTGAGCATGTTTTACTATTATATTTATGAAAATGTACGCTATATTTTTGTATTGTTTGCAGATTCAACACATTTTAAATACAAATCTAATAACATTTATTTTGTGTTTGTGTGTCTTTTGTCTAGTAGAAAGAGCTGGCACTCTTATTAACTTCCGTTACTCAGCTAATTAACTTTGAGTTCAAGTTAATTAAGTCTAGATATTGAGTCTCATAGCACTTAAGTCAGGATGATTAATGAGAAAGCCCTGACATGTTTCCCATGAACTGCTTCATGAAGGTTATAAAAAGTCTAAACGGAATAAATCAGTGATATAAACTTTAAACTGGTGTCTGTTTGTGTAACTTAGTCTTACGAAAGCCACTTAATGGACAGAAGCATGAACACTTGATTATTGTCAGAAATTTACCATTTTTATCTCACTATCTCTCTATGTAGTTAAAAAAAAATTAATGAAATAAATATTATTTAAAGTGTTTAATATAGATAAAAGTAGATCAATATAACCAAAAGGGGATCTCATTTTTATGTTGTGTTTTCCTGATTGGCCGTGTTGTGTTATGTCATCTCAGCGCGTTTCATAGCGATTGGTGAACAACTCCTCATAAGTGGCAAAGGAGCCAATCAATGATAAGTACGTTGTAAGACTGATGAGAAATGCTACAGTAACCCATACATAACATATTTTCATAACAGCAGCTGGTGAAACTACTACTGGAAGAGACAGGGCGCTTCCGGAACAACAACATAACATTCATAGCCTGTAAAAGACGCTTGTGTTTCAAGGTAAATATCTGGGTACGAAACAGATACAGTAGAAACTGAACGATCTGTACACCATGGTATGACTTCTGATAAAAGGTAAGACGTAGTCCTTTAAAGCCTTTAACATTAGAACAAAAGATTCGAACCTTTCAGTTTCTGTTTACGAGATAAACACCTATAATATAATAAATATAAAAATACTGTACGGTCTTATCACGGCTTGTTTATGTATGTATACAGTATGTACAAAATAATGTTCGTTAAACATTGTAGTAATGCATAACATATATATGTATATTATATTTCAGGTGTAGGCTATGTCAACTGTGTATTTTTAATTAACAAAAAGATATAACCTTTTTTGATATAGTATGGTGTAAATCATAGACTGTAAAAAACACAATGATCATTCATTATTACCATGGTTAATTTCAAAGTATTATAGTATTACCATCTGATATGATCACTGTACTATGATATCACCACACTGCATTTAGATTAAAAAAATAATGATATTTTAATTAAAGAATTTCTCATTCTTTTAATTTTTTTAAAGAATTGTGCCTTATAGGATCACCAAGTGTATAGTGAATTTTGTTTTGTGTATTTGTATGACGATTTGTAACATTTCCCTACAGCCAGCGTCTATGTGGTGCGCAAGATCCGCGCTGCCCTTACAGAGGGAGAGCAAGCAGAACAACCTGTGCTCACACCATGTAGTCTGGCTAAAGGTGAGGTATACTCACTTATCTCTCTCTCTCTCTTCTCTCTCTCTCTCTCTCTCTCTCTCTCTCTCACACACACACACACACACACACACACACACAGAAAAACCAGAAACATAAAGAACATACATAGGGTGAAAGTGTATGTCAGTGTTTTATTACTCTGTAGCCTGTCTTGAGTGAGGCAAAATACAGAAGTACATTAGAGTGAATCGGTGTTCATTCCACATTGTACCGATGTGGAATGTACAGATGGTGTGTTCAAATGTCACATTAAATTTGTCTGACGTGTTTGTGTTTCCAGGTAAAAAGGAGCGCTATGCATCAGACACAGCATTAATGCCCGCTCCAGAGCCTGAGGGTGCTGCTGGGTCATCTGCATCTACAGAGACAGCTGTGCTGAAATGTGGTTCCTGAGGTTAAAGGTCACGCAGAAGCAAATCTGGGCACAATGGAGGCTGAAAAACAGCATTGCTGGACACCAGCATGTGTTGTGTTTTGGATGCTGCTAGTGTTTCAACAAGGCCATCTAAGCTGGTCTTTTAAGTAGAGGTTTTACAAGCGGAAGGCAATTTGTAATAAAGATCTGACATCAGTCCAGTTTTGCTCTGCGTGACCTTTTGTTCTTGGGTGCCAACACTGGCTCCTCCTCTCTCTTTCTTTGTCTCTTTCTCTTTTTCTGTTTCCCATCAGCTGTAGTTTGTGAAGGTCTGTTCATCAACCTCTGCCTCAGGGGCGGTTCAGATCTGATGTTTACCTGCAGCTTTTGTATTTATACTCACCAACTAACTGACTGTACACTGACTGAAGACATATTGCTGTCAGTAACAATAACAGCTGATGCTCTTTATAAGATTATGTAATTTTTGTAATGATAAAAACAACTAATAAAATGGTCCAGTCTTTGTTCCACACACACACACACACACACACACACAGAAAAACCAGAAACATAAAGAACATACATAGGGTGAAAGTGTATGTCAGTGTTTTATTACTCTGTAGCCTGTCTTGAGTGAGGCAAAATACAGAAGTACATTAGAGTGAATCGGTGTTCATTCCACATTGTACCGATGTGGAATGTACAGATGGTGTGTTCAAATGTCACATTAAATTTGTCTGACGTGTTTGTGTTTCCAGGTAAAAAGGAGCGCTATGCATCAGACACAGCATTAATGCCCGCTCCAGAGCCTGAGGGTGCTGCTGGGTCATCTGCATCTACAGAGACAGCTGTGCTGAAATGTGGTTCCTGAGGTTAAAGGTCACGCAGAAGCAAATCTGGGCACAATGGAGGCTGAAAAACAGCATTGCTGGACACCAGCATGTGTTGTGTTTTGGATGCTGCTAGTGTTTCAACAAGGCCATCTAAGCTGGTCTTTTAAGTAGAGGTTTTACAAGCGGAAGGCAATTTGTAATAAAGATCTGACATCAGTCCAGTTTTGCTCTGCGTGACCTTTTGTTCTTAGGTGCCAACACTTGCTCCTTCTCTCTTTTTTTTGTCTCTTTCTCTTTTTCTGTTTCCCATCAGCTGTAGTTTGTGAAGGTCGGTTCATCAACCTCTGCCTCAGGGGCGGTTCAGATCTGATGTTTACCTGCAGCTTTTGTATTTATACTCACCAACTAACTGACTGTACACTGACTGAAGACATATTGCTGTCAGTAACAATAACAGCTGATGCTCTTTATAAGATTATGTAATTTTTGTAATGATAAAAACAACTAATAAAATGGTCCAGTCTTTGTTCCATTGTTTTCTTCCTAAAAAACTCTACATTAAATTAGCATTGTTTTGTAATCTCTGGTATATTTATACTAACCTGTCCACTCTAGGAAGATATTCTTTGATTGGATAAACACATAGCTGTATTTTAATGATGACAAAATCACAATGACATCATTCCTCCGCAAGGTTCGAGATGACCTCTACAATTAAAGGATTTACTTAACATATTTCTTTAAAAATGGAATATATCTATTTTATCATGTATTTCATCCCAATAAATTAATTCAGAAATTAAAGTGGGATTTAAATAAATACTCAGGGTGTCATAGTGATCATCACAGCATGAGATAGGAAACATTACAAACTATTTTGTTGCCAATTTCCAGTATTAAAGGTAGGTTCCAGAATTTTTTTTATTATACAGGTTGAAAGTCTCTTTAAATTCTGATAGCAGTGCTCTATATATTATGTATACTATTATACTGTATATATATTAGGGTGCATCAAAAAATCTAATGTAAGATTTCATTTAGGCCCTAGCATAAAGAAAGCACATATGTGCAAAATACAAAAAAAAAATAATAATAATAATAATAATCTACTGGGTCCACATGTGATGCAAAATATCTTTACAGGATTGCAAATAAGCATTTGAGTTTTAACTCAACAAACATAATCTTAACCAGTTTCTGGCACCGTGTGACATTGTTATTTTTTTCTTTATGTTTCTTTAGTTATTTAAGTGACAACACAACATGTAGGCCAAGTGTGGTAACCCATACGCGGAATTTGTGCTCTGCATTTATGCCATCCAAGTGCACACACACGAGTGAGCACACACACTGTGGGCGCACAGCAGTGGGCAGCCAGTTGCTTCAGTGCTCGGGAGCCATTGAGGTTAGGTGCCTCCTCAGTCTTTCTTGGGTAATGGTTAGAGAGACAGACAGACTTACCAAAAAGGCATAGGTTCAGTTCTCAGTATTGGCAGGAAATGTAAGTGGGGAGAGTGAACATGCTCTTTTTCTAACCTGAGTACCCACACTCAGTTTGACACCACACTCTGCACAGTCATTCACAACAAAATGGTAGTGACAGGAAAGTAGAGAAAATAAATAAATGAATGATGTTTAGAGGTTTAGCCAACGGTGTGGAAAAAGAAGTTTAGATTTCGTTACAGAAGTGCAAGCCAAAATGTGAAGACTTGCCAAAATACAGAGAGACAGACAACGGGGTAAAACAAGGGTAAACATTGGTACTGTTTTTAAAAGATGGAGAAATCTGATTAAATGTATGTGTTTCGACAACTAAGTTGTGGAGTTTCCTCTCGACAGGTGAGTTAAACTTCAAGTAAAAGGTGTTCCTAATATGTTGGACCTTTTATTGAAAGTAGTCTACTTTTACCTGTTGAGACAGGCCTTCACTTTTATATATCCCTAAGAGCTGTGACCTGCAAAAAGCTTGTTTGGAAATTAGCTTTATTTTTGTAGTTCCGCTAGATGACACTAGAAGCGCAGAAACTGTCCACCCTACCTTTAAAAAAAACATAAAGCAGGAGTGAAATGAAGCGAAAAGATATTAGATTTTATAGTTTATATTGTGTTATATTGTTTGAGGGTGCAATAGTTTTTTCTGTTCCAGCATGACTTATGCCCCTCTACTGACACTAGTGTGGAAATGTAAACCAGAACAAAGCCCAGACGTGACACCTATTTAACACCTTTGGAATGAATTGGATTGCTGACTGTCAGTGCCTGACTTCACTGATGATCTTATGTCTGAATGGGACCAAATCCCCACTGCTGTTCCAACACACAATAAAAAAGCTTTACATGAAGAAGCTTTTACAGAGAACTTACTCCGTATAATGTCAATGTGTTAAAAATAAATAAATAAATGCTTTAAAAACCAAGTATTGATGTGGTGCTTGAGAGCCCGCTTACTTTTGGACATACATTGTATTCAACCCACAGACAGCATTTAGCATATTCTTCATGACGCTAGATGGCGCACACTACCTTTCTAGATTAGGCTTTTCACAAAGAAGAAGAGCGTGTGACTTCCTGTGAGTGGCGGAAGTTTTTAATCGAGGAATATAATCCCGATTTTCATGTGCTCGTTTTCTGTTCATCAGCTGAATTATCTTCATTTGCCATGTTCTACAGTTTAAACTGACTCCGGGACTTAAAAAGTAGGTGTAATATATAAAAACTGAAATCAGATGAAGGAATAATAGGACGTTGTATTTAACTACAGGTCAGTTAGGAGCACTTTTAATGTGCATGTGTGCTAATGTTGATTGTTTCAATGCATTGACAGATACGAACGGTTATATTTAGCATATAATGTAACTAAATGATTTTGATTCAGGCTATTTGTGAAAATCATCTAATGATATAATGCATAAATTTAGCGCTTTTAGGACTGGTTACAGTGCTATATTTAGGTTCCGATCCTGTCCTGTCTTTGTTCATTTTCATTGCTTTATCTGGGATTTCAAACATCTGTTTGCAGAATGCCACATGACAAAACCCGTAACAGCCTTCTGTCTAACTCCTGTCATTTTTCCCTGGACCGGAGGAGAGCTCTGACCCTCTCACCTGAGATCAAACGTGACAGCTGCCAGGTATGTCCATGCATGGAATGACATGATATATTGAATAGTGGTGTTTACTGTGTTTCAATGTTTTTACTTAAATCCAAAAGATTAAAAAAAACATCTTTTAATGTGTCCCAGGCTGAAAGTCCTCTTAAGATCCCCAGGAGAGTATCCACAGCTGAGGATGAGCGTGTGGATACAAAGATGTCAAAAGATCGGAATAAGAGCCACTCCAAGGTGACTATGATGTGGACATATCGTTTGTGCATTTGTTGACAAATTCTTTTAAGGTTCTAAGTAAAGAACTACATTTAAACCACAAAGGCTATTGCTTTTATAAAACAGTGCATACAGCAATATGATAAAATACACCAGTGTTCAATGAATAGTTATGCTTATTAATAATAGTAATCAGAATAAACCAATCTTTAACCGAATTGTATAGTTTATTAGCCTAACTATACAGTCACCAGGCACTGAATTCATGTGACATATTAACATAGAATGTGTTTATCTGTTTTTCGAATATTTTTTTTTTTTTTACTGATCTAGTGAACTGTTTGACTACTTAACCTCTGTCAACAATTCAACCTGTGCTCTCTTAAAGTTATAGTTCACACAAAAATGAAAATTCTGTCATTAATGACTCACCCTCGTGTTGTTTCAAACCCGTAAGACCTTCGTTCATCTTCGGAACACAAATTAAGATATTCGAAGATGAACGAAGGTCTTACGGGTTTGAAACGACATGAGGGTGAGTAATTAATGACAGAATTTTCATTTTTGGGTGAACCTAACCCTTTAATGTTTTGGTAGTTTCTGATTGGCTTTGTTTTCTTGTGTACTGTTAGATCCACTGGACACAGCTGGCCTCAAATGGTACATCAAGCGATCAAGAACATACCATATGGCAGGAAATCCAAAGGTAACGTGCTAACCACATTATCCATCAGATTCTGAAGGCGAAGCCTGTTCTTCATCACTTATAAGTAAACATTAGGTTAAGTAGTTGTATAAACACGTTATGTACCAAAGTACAATATAGTTTGCTTTGCCTTGCATTACATGAAATATGTAGTTTTGAATTACGCAGATGTTGGCCAGCTGACTTGCATATGTGATATTCTATGTGAAGACTCTCAACATTGCATGTATTTTCCGATCAAGAACATACCATATGGCAGGAAATCCAAAGGTAACGTGCTAACCACATTATCCATCAGATTCTGAAGGCGAAGCCTGTTCTTCATCACTTATAAGTAAACATTAGGTTAAGTAGTTGTATAAACACGTTATGTACCAAGGTACAATATAGTTTGCTTTGCCTTGCATTACATGAAATATGTAGTTTTGAATTACGCAGATGTTGGCCAACTGACTTGCATATGTGATATTTTATGTGAAGACTCTCAACATTGCATGTATTTTCTAACTGAATTTTTTACATTCTTGAGTATCCACCACCTGTTTCCTGACAAAGGAAGTGATGCATCGAGCACATTTAACATACTTCAATATGACTGAAGTGTTTCAAGCCAGTAGTTTTTAGGATACCATACGAAAACTACAATGACTGTTAAACATTTTTTATTGGAATGTACTGTTTTTTTTTTTTTTTTACATAAATAGACAATGATTTTATTCAGAGATGTGTTTTACTGATGTATTTTTAAAAGTATCACCTGAATGTATTTTAGATTTTTTGTCAAGTATTAATCTTACATGTCTTGTGTAGCTTCTTGTTAATTGTATTTTGCCATGACGATAACCTTGTGCTGACATGGTATTAAAAAATAAATAATAAAATAAAATAAATAAATAGGGTACCATACGACAGTACTGCCAGAACTGAAGTGATCTGGCTTTAACAAATTCACTTGAAAACATGCTCTTTGGGAAGGTTTCGTGTTATTTCCCCTGATGTCCACTTACAGTTTAAGTCAAGTCAGTTTTAGCAAAGAGTCTTGCTGGCTAAAGTAATAAAGTTGCTGAATACTGATTAGGTTTTGATGTGTTACGCTTGTAATTGTCAGACTTTTTCCTGCTTGGTTTCATTAAACGATCGGGGTGAACTGGGGAGAGTGTTTTGCCTTCTAAGCATTATAATATATATTTATATAGTTTATATCAGACTTTTATTTCCAAATAGCAGAGGGAAATCCTGTTTTGCATGATATAGCACACATCTACACTCCCCCACTAAACACTTTTGCTTATCATTCATGCACCATCTGTGCATGTTGACCCGTCTCATTCCATGCCAACACGGCTATTATTTAAAATGTTTGCTGTGCCATTAGTTAACCAGATAAGTCAATAAACAGCTGTGTAGAATGTAACAAATGTGCTAAAACTGTCTGCCTAGTAGTTATGGATCCGCAAGTAAAGTAAGTATGTTTACGGAGCTACAGTGTTTGTTATTTTTTTGCATTAGTTTAGTTGATTTTTATGTGATTATATAATATATAATGTGTGTATGTACTTATTTCCTATAGGCGCCAGGTCAAGGTGGTTTTAGAAGATGTCCTTCAGACAGAGATCGGGCAGAGATTGCTGAGATGTGGCCAAAAGACAAACCAATCAGAGAGCAAAAGGCAGAGTGATCACACCTCAACAGCTGCACTCCAAGACAAGAGGAGAACCAGTCTAACAAAAAGAGGAGAAACGGACTCTACTGGACCAAAAGCCACTTCACCATCCCATAATCAGACTGAGTCATCCACTGAAAATGAATCATGTCCACACAAAGAAATCAAAAATCCGAAATCCAAACAACTGAACTCATCACTGAAACTATTAGAGTCATCTGAAGTATCAGGTAACTCATGTTCACCCAGAGAAAGTGACTCACCACAGGCTGTTCAGATTAATGAACAGCTGCCTAAACAGACCAAACCATCTACTTCTGAAGAGAATAAAGTATTACTTCTTGAAGGATCTCTGCAGCATGAGGAAACACCTTCCTCTGGATGTGAATCTTTACGCAGCCCCTCTTCATCGTTAGCAAGGCGGTGTAGTCTGAGAGATGAAACATCAGGTAGCGAGGTAAGATCTGTACACCTTGGCAAAAATCAAAGAATCCTGAAAAAGTGTATCACAGATGGTTTCCACAAAAATATTAAGCAGCACAACTGTTTTAACATTGATAATTGAGCACCAATCAGCATATTAGAATGATTTCTGAAGGCTCATGTGACACTGTAGAGTGGAGTAATGATGCTGAGAATTCAGCTTTACCATCACAGGAATAAAATGCATTTTAAAAGCAAATTAAATGCATTATTAAATCATTTATTGGTATATCAAAGCAAACTATAAAGTATGACCTGGAGCAACTGTTTAGGATTCAAATATGATTAGTTTTTATTGTAGATCATCATTTTTGAATCTACATTTGATTCTATAGCATCTACCCAATAAGAAAGAAAGGAGAGAAACACAAGAATGCCCAAAATATGCTTCAGAAGATACGGAAAATCACTTGCTCAGGAATGGAGAGGTGGTGCAGGAAGTGGATGGAACGAGAGGAAGTGTGTTACGCCTCTCAGTCGGGGTTGATGGGGAAATCCAGGTTAAAAGATTTCGTATGGACAGCCTTTCTGGTGAACATGTTCCCACCTCAGACCCCGCCTCTGGGACAACAGAGGGGCGGAGCTACAACACAGAGTCCTCTAAGCTCTCCCCATCTGAACCTAGTAAGTGATTAGTCAGCATTTTTTGATCAAATAAATACAGCCCTAGTGAGCATAAGAGACTTCATTTTAAAAACATTTTAAAAAATCTTACCCACCCCAAACTTTTGAACGGAAGTGTATGTAATTGGTAAATATTATTTCACTAATACCAAACATTATTTGGTTTTTACATGCCACACAGATATACCAAGGCGTTTTTTTCTAACTTTGTATGATTGTTATTTGAAGACAATAATTCCATTGTTGCCTTGCTTAGTTGTTCTGTCCAGTGAAGAGGAAGAGGAACAGGAAGGAGAGGAAAGTAAAGAGGTGGAAGCCTCTTCCCTAAACATCCAGCCACTGGAGGGTGCAAAAGATATGAATATAGAAGATAAATCGGTAAGAGTTTACAAGCAGAAAAAACACTTGAGTGTCATTCACACACAGGTGGGTATGGTGATCCATCTACTGGACAAAAAGAATTAATTTTATTTACTAAATAATTACTAAATAGTATATAGCTGATTTTATGGTGTCTCATAATAGCTTATCTTGATGTTAAAAACATCTAGCTTAACGGGGGCTGTTCCAGCCAGACACTGGCACTGATGTGTGTATGTATGTTTTCATTGTCAGAGTTCAGCTGTGATAGAGCTACAGCTGTCTTCCCTTCACATGGGTGGAGTTAGTGCCAATTGTGAGAGTATGGAGGTGAGAGTGCTATGTTGATGTGGTGGGATGGACTGATCAAATATGTGACCCTGGACCACAAAAGTCGCTGGGGTATATTTGTAGCAATAACCAACAATACATAGTATGGGTCAAAATTATCGATTTTTCTTTTATGCCAAAAATCATTAGAATATTAAGTAAAGATCATGTTCCATGAATATATTTTGTAAATTTCCTACCGCTAATATATCTAAACTTAATTTTTGATTAGTAATATACATTGCTAATGACTTCATTTGGACAACTTTAAAGGCGATTTTCTCAATATTTTGATTTTTTTGCACCCTCAGATTCCTAAATTTTCAAATGGTTGTATCTCGGCCAAATATTGTCTTATCCTAACAACCATGCTTCAATGGAAAGCTTATTTATTCAGCTTTCAGATAAATCTCAATTTAAAAAAAAAATTGACCCTTGTGACTGGTTTTGTGGTCCAGGGCCACATATGTCTGAATCATTCAAGTCATGATTCAAGCTGGGGTTTACATAAAAAAAGTATAACAGGAAGTGTATCAGGAATGTTTCTGGATCTCTCTCTATTTTCTGTTTGTGTCACTGATTTTTAATATACCATTTTTCAGGTCACTACAGACAAGATCACCTTTTCATTAAGAGGTAAACATGTTTTAAGCAAACATTATTATTAGAAATATTCTGGTGAAGTGAACATTATGCATTTGCTATGTTTTTTTGTTTTTTTTTGTAGATTATTATTTAACTGTAAAATAAATCTATAACATTTATTATTCCAGACATTTTATATTATAATTTAATATTAAATTTTATATTATAATTAGATATAGGTAATATCTATATGTAATATATATGATTCAAAATTTTTAAACCTCTTTTCCTTTTTGTTTGTTCAGGTTCTTCAGTGAACATTTCTATATCGACGCCTAATGTATGTAAATACAGTGTATGGGATGAGCCTATATTGAGTGCGTGTGGCCTGGCTAAGGACAGCGAGGTCCCACCCCCTTCTCTGGTCCTCTTTTGGCTGTCTGATGACCAGGCACACAGATTACGCAATGACCTGTCCGTCATCCTGCCAGACACATGTCCAGGTCAGCTACCTGTCTACTTTCTTGATTACTGATAATACTGTAATATGTTGTTATATATTTGTTAATATTGCTAATAAGCAATGACAGCGCTTTCTATATTCTCTCTCCTTATGTTTTATGTGTTAACAGCTGAAGGCAGTACGTGTGTGTTGCTGTGTTTGGCTGAACCTGTAACTGGTGTTGAGAGTGCGCTCTTGGCCTCTTTAATGGACATGGTTCAGAATCAGAGCAGCTCTGAACTCCTCTCCCCCCTCACACAGTCAGACAGCCTGAAAGTGCTTCAGAGCTCCCAGGAAACACACCTTCTCCAACTTTTGACGCCTGAAACTGATCCTCAAACCAGCACTGCTGCACATGCAGCTGTATCTGCTGTGAAGGTTCAGACAAAATATTGCATCTACGCATCTTTGCTTTTTTTTTTTCGTGTTTGCAAGTTCATTTCTTTCCCGTGGTTAACTTTTAATGTTAGTAATTTAGTTACAAATTATTAGGCTGTTAATATTATTTGTAATTATATCAGATTATTAAATACAAAATACAGAATCATTTTCACTTTTCAGACCCTCTGTATGTCAGTGTGGTGGTTTTTGATCTGTTTTTCCAGCTTAGTTTGATCTGGGTGGACTAGGTAGAGAATTATCGATTATAGGAGAAAAATAACAAATTGTTTTGGCAATTTTATGGATTGAATGTGTGTTTCCAGTCTCAGGATTCGGATGTTCATTTGAAGCCAGTTTACACGCTTTGCCACAGTAGAGCTCAGGGTTCATACAGTGTTACCTTGGCACCTACACTTGGGGCAGAATGGACACCATACCAACACTGTGGTCCGGCACGCAGGTAAAAACGATTTTAATGTTTTTTGACGGAAATCTCTTGCTCACCAAAGCTGCATTTATTTGATCAACAATACAGTAAAAAACAGTAATATTAAAATATATTGTTACAATAATTAAAAAAAAAACGTTTCTATTTGAATATATTTTAAAATATAATTTATTCTGTAATGTCAAAGCCAAATTTTCAGCATCATTACTCCAGTCTTTAATGTTGCATGTTCCTTCAGAAATCACTCTAATATGCTGATTTGGTGCTCAATAAACATTCCTTATTATCATCATACTGTAAACAGTTGTTCTGCTTAATATTCTTGCAGAAACCATGATGCATTTTTTCAGGAATTTTGATGAGCAGGAAGTTTAAATAATGTTTATTTGAAATAGAGATAGTTTGGAACATTATAAATGTCACTGTCAATTTTGACCAATTTAAATCAGTCCTAATTTACTGTCATTCAACTCTGTTTAGATTGATTCAGTTCCCTCCTCCACCCACGAAAGGAGCCATCACCGTGACGACAGAGGACCTGGAGTGTTTAGACAGTGGCGAGTTTCTTAATGATGTCATAATCGACTTCTACCTCAAGTAAGACAACTAAGGATTGCTTCTAGACGCAATGTGTAAGTGGAGGGACTTACAGTCACTCCATCAGAGTTATTTGGGAAGGAGTGGGATGAAGAACTGGGAGTTTTGACTATCAGCATGAAGTTTGATCCAGTTTGCAACTTGTTCTGATCAAGAACTGCCTATAGGAAGCTCTGATGTGAAAAACAACTAAACATTGGCTGTTTTTAACAATACATTACCATTCAAATCTTTGGGGTCAATAAGTCTTACAATGATTACACATTAGAATGATTTCTGAAGGATTATGTGACAGTTTAAACTGGAGTAATGGCTGCTGAAAATTCATCATAGTGCCATCACAGGAATAGATTACATTTTAAAATATATTCAATTAGAAAACGGTTATTTTAAATTGCAATAAAATTTAGCAAAATTGCTGTTTTTATTTTTGAACAAATAGGCTAATTGCAGCCTTGGTGTGCATAAGAAGCATTTAAAATTTTTTTACAAATTCTTACAGACCCCAAATTTTTAAACTGTAGTGTATGTTTGTAGGTGCATAAACCTGAAATCTCTGTAACACTAAAGATTACTTTGCTACCAAGAGTCTCATACAGTCCTCTTTGAATATTGATGACGAACTTGCAAACTGAGATTGTATTTTGTATGCTCGTTTTTTAGGTATCTTCTGGTGCAAAAGGCCCCGCAAGCATCTGTAGACAGATCTCATGTTTTCAGCAGTTTTTTCTATAAACAGCTCACACGCAGAGACAACGCTAATGAGGACAGTACAAGCACACCGTGAGTATTTGTTAGACGGCACACATATATTCATATATATACCCCTTTTGAGATACTGATATACACTTTCCTTTGATAATGCTTATTGTTACAAATGGTTTTTGTTTTTACAACTTTGGTTGTCCATCAGAGCTCAGGTCAGAAGGCATCAGCGTGTGAGGACATGGACGCGTCATGTAGACATCTTTGACAAAGACTTCCTGTTTGTGCCTGTCAATCAAGAGTGAGTATCAGCTATATAAATACAGTGTTTGGACACTTAAACCATACTTACTTTTGAGGGCCAGTGTTTTTAGAGCTGTGTTTGCTTTTTAATTACATGTTTAAATTTTTTTCTTGGAATTTCATTCACTAATTTGTACTCTCTATGGACATTATAAAATGTTTGAGCTTTCATTTGCCTTGAATATACCAGTGTGTATCATATGTTTATAAGTGTCTTATATCATGTCTGCTGTTTGTTTCAGAGCTCACTGGTACCTCGTGGTGATCTGTTTTCCTGGGTTAGAAGAGCCACAGTATGTGAAGAGGGACAGCAGAGACTCTGTGCAGGGTGATGGAGCTGAAGGTTTGGGTGAGTCTGAGGGTGAGATCCATGGAGAGAATAGATCCAACAGTGATGAGGAAAAAGGTAAGATGTGTCAGTTTTGAAAAATTGTAATTCTAATGCTTTACTATTAATTTACATATGCTTACTACTTTTAAGTATAATTTGATGATTCTAGACAAACTTTTGTTCTTAATCTAGATGAGAGTTGTATAAAGTCAAGCACGACTCTTCATCTTCCCGTAAGTCAAATTAACTTTAATAACAGGTCTTGCTAGTCAAAAATCTTTATTTGAAAATTGGATTTGTTGAATAGCATTTGATTTGATAAAATGTCATGTGGACACAGATAGTTTGCATATGCACAGTTATAGCAGAACCTTTTCCTTCTGTAGAAGTGTACGGAAAATACCTGCAAGAGACCTATTGTGTGTAAAAGGTATGTTTGTGTGTGTGTGTGTGTGTTTTAAATGAACTGATTTGTTTTTGTCATAATGTAGAGAATTTAGTGTGAGAAAAGATAATAGTTTAGGTTTTCCAATAAAAAAGCTTTTGTGCTGCATACATTACAATAATATTATAATAGTACTATATAATGGATTTTAGATATTTTCTGTTGTTATTTTGATTATAAAAAGTAAAAATAACGTTTTTTTTTTCTTCTATAATTATGTTGCTTTTTATTCATATATGTATTTTTTATTATGCAGTTATGGAGGCTTTCAGGAAAAGGATTTCACTGCTAATGTATCGCACGACAAACTACTATTTTTTTTTTTACTAAAACTAACTAACATTCTAAAACGAACATTTTTTTAACCATGAGTTTTGAGAATTATTTTTACTCGTTATTTTTTTCAGACCATGCATTCTCATCATGGATTCCCTGAAGTTGTCGGTTCACGAACGTATCTTCAAACTCTTGCGCGAGTGAGTGTTTGCGAACTTAATACAGTCCAACTTAATTGCATATTTATGTTAAGCGCTGTTGTTGTTGCTATCTTTATTATTATTAATTGTTTGCTGGTATTATGTAAATAGTACTAGTGCAACACGATATTTTTGCCTGTAATTTCAATATATATAATGTGTATAATGAAATTTCTTTTCATGACATGATTTATTTTAATGGGGTTTTTTAGATACCTTCAGGTGGAGTGGCAGACAAAAAGAGGTGGTCATCGTGACTTTAGTGGTGACCACATGGTAGGTTCCCACTGTACAGTCCCCCTACAGGACAACAGCAGTGACTGTGGCCTTTATCTGCTACAATATGCAGAAAGTTTTTTGCAGGTAGAATTACACCCATTCTTTATTCCAAATTTTCAATTCAATTTCAAATCTGTGTAAGTCTATTTTGATAGCAATGCTATTTGTATATCTTTAAGGACCCTGTGGTAGACTTTGAATTGCCATTGAGATTGGAGCGCTGGTTTCCACGGCAACAGGTGCGAGGTAAACGGGAGGAGATTCGAGACATCATCCTACACCTGTACAGATTTCAGCAAGGCTCTCTGGGACATGAATCTTTAGAAGATAGGACAGATCATGGAAATGTCATTCAGTGATGTTAAGCTTTTAGGTTCACGTGATTATTTTACGCTAGATATATTTATATTTTAGCTGATTTTGATCCTTTTATATTAATTTTATGCTTTTGTATACACTGTTGGAAAAACTTTAGAAAGAAATAAATGTTGATAAAATGATGACAAATCGTTTTGCTCTTTTTAATCTCAAATTTCTCTGTATGTCTGTGTTTTTATCGAGGTAAGTAGCTCAAACTTTCTTTAAAGGGGTCATATGGCAAAAAATTTATTGATCTTTCAAGCCAAAAATAAGAAGACCCTGTTAAAATGGACATTTGTACTGTGTTTATGCTCTCTCTTAACAGTGGCTTCGGTTGTGATGAATGAATGCCTGGATACATGATTGGATAAGCAGTCGGGTGTGGCATGAGTCCTTGTTCTGATTGGCTAATTCATTAGTAGTGGTCAAGTAGAGCATCAAAAGGCCAGGTGCGTGCAGGGATGGTATAGGTTTAACACTAATCAGACAGTTAGAGATTAGACTGATTTGCAGACCACCCACCTTCTTCCAGTAATCCCAGCATTCCAGTCTGTGTACAATGATGTTCTCTATTTGTTTGCTTATTCAATGTAGTGTATACTAGCTGGTAAACTGTGATTATTAATCTTTAAGTGTGTGTACCAAGGAGGTCTGTAAAACCTGCTGGAAGCTATATGGTAGCATTTCCTGCCTTTGAGACAGGCCTATTTTTGGAACAGCATGCTTCCATACTATTTCTGCTATATCTGTTGTGTGCACCTTTCATTTCCAGTATGATAAGTGATATGGAAGTATTGAACAGTTTGATCAGACTAACAAAGGTAAAGATATGTTTTACACAAAATGGAAAGTGCAAAGTATACATACTACAGAAATAGTAGCAGTAATACAATAAAAAGTCGTATGAAAGCATGCTACACTGTAAAAAAAAAAAAAAAGGATAAAGTCCTGGCAGAAAATTACCAGTGTGTTTTCTGTAACGTTTTTGGACATTCCCTCCAATCTTCAAACAACACAACACAATTCAATGTTCACCTGGAGATTGAGACGGAGACCCAGTCAGTTTGACCTCCTTTTTTATTTGTTTGAATATTCATTTAATTTCATGCCATTTTATAATTTATTTCAACAGCACTCAACAATTCTGTTAATGTCATCACAATTCAATGTGTAATTAAAAAAAAAAAAAAAAATTAAAAAAAACACCTCAATAGGGCAAATCCCTCACAGTACGCTGGGCTGTATTTTACAAACCTTTACTGTACCTGTGGTGGTTAATTTCTAAGGACACAGACACTAAGCCACATGTACGGTAATTGTATTGTGGCATTTAAATCAGTGTGTGAGCACAGGGGGTACAAAATCCTGTCTTAGTCTTAGCCATGCAAGTCACACACGGCCACATCTAAAACAAAATCTTATTTAGAATTAATAATTTCCTAAAATGGCCCTGAATCTGAAAAATCACACCTGTCTCTGTGATATCCTTGTCAGTCAGGTCTTTAGAGGGCAGGGTTTTGGAAAGAAGGAGCATGTTTGCAGGTCTCATTCAGTGGCTACGGTTGTTAGCTATTGTTCCCAGATGTGAATCTGTTGAAAATGCACATTTGGGCACTAGCAAGGGCCTTGATCCGCTAAACATTGAGACATGCTTTCGTGGTAGCAGATATTTTTAGCTAACATTGGTAACAATAACATGCCATCATTATGTTTACGGTAAAAATAGTTTTGCCTAGCGACGGTTTTAGAGCACTGCAATGACAAGCTATAGACCTTGATGTGAACGATTCATCCATGTATGTGTTTCACTTTCTACTAATTTTTTAGACCTCAGAAAGTGTAATCAAAATGTCTTAACTCCATCTAAAAAGATGGGCTTCTCTCTGGTGAGGTATGCCAGACTTGTCCAGCCATTTAGTACACTTAAACCCTGCCCCTTTCTTATATTCAACTGCAAGCTTGCATTCAGATCTGCCCTGTGCTACTTTTTTTTCTATCACTACTTCCATTTCATTGCAACTTCTGTTGCATACTTTTGGTCATGTAATTTACTTGTTTATTACCTTGTACTTAATTGCTATATTGCATTTGTTTATTTTACATTATATCAGTCCAAAGCTTATATGAGTCAATAAAGCATCTTGATTCCAGTTCATTTACAGTTGTTGCAGACTTTAAGGGTCAAACCATTAATACCTGTCCTTAACCTTACAGGTGGTCAAGTGTTCAGTTGAGCAGTGATTACGTAAGCGTCACGTTAGTATGCCTCCACTGAGAACTGTATATTGGGTTCAGATTATTTTGGTTTATGGATATCTGGCAAATCAGATTTTCCTTGTTTTCTCCTTAACTCCTCATTTCCAGCACATGTATATTTGGTTTGCGCTCTTGGTTAACTCCAGTTCTTCCAGTTACTGCTTGATTAGCTGCTCTACAGGATTACTACACAAGATTAGAAGAAAAAAAAAGGAAAATCCCTTCCATCTGCCTACCTGCCAGAGGATCCCCACAGTTCTACACCTGTGCTCATCTTTGACAATCTGGATAGCAATTTATAACAACAATATACTATCATAACTATCAGTGGATACTGTGTAACAGGTATGCACAGGTGTGGGAAGGTTTGGTCACATCGTCCGAAGTGAAGCGGCGACTATTGCACAACAGCTTAATTTTCAAGCCACAGGAAGTCACTATGTGGAAACTCATATGGACCTGTATCCTGTTTTGGTTAGGCTGCATTTTTGCAATAAGCCAGCTGGATATTTCTGCAGGTGTGTATCTTTGTGTATGTATGTATATATGTATTAGGTGGGAGTGTGATGACTAATGGTTATCACCAAGTAATTTGTTTGTATATTTCTTTTTTCAGGGGAAGTTGACCGTATTCCCATGTTTGGAAACCCAGATAAGCGCTCACAAAGATTGTTTCAAAGGTTTGTGGAAAAGCCTGCAGACCATGGACTCTTGCCGAGAAATAAGCGTAATGTTTTTCTGTCCAGTGGACTACGCCTCTGCAGTCAAGAAACAGTGCAGCAAGCCATCAGTAACCACCTGAAATACTACCAGCTCAGAGGTGAGACACTATTACTAATTCTATTTATACTTTTAGTATTCATATTATAGTATTAATAGTAATAGCATTGTATAATCTGTGTATAGTGTTGCTTGTACATGCATTAATTTACTATATATACAGAATTCAGTGCCAAAGAACTGAAAGTAGCTTTTTGTATACTTCCTTTTTGGAACATTCTAAAACCACAAGCCTTAGTGTCTCTTAAAGATATAATTAAAGATTACATAATATTAATACACAATTTCGTCACAAAAACACAATTAAGTGGACGCAGAGGTGAATTTTAAATATTTTCACTACTGAAAATATTTGAATTAATTTTTACATCCTGTTAGTCTTTTTGGTAATAGCCCTTTTACTAACAGAAGATAGACCCTAAATGACATCATTCTACAAGGAGTTATATCATTTTTGGTTGGAAAACAACAGCACAAACATGAGACAACATTAGCTCTGGAATTGTTGTTTTATCTCATGCTATTTGTGTCTCAGGCTATGATTAATAAAGTTTAAATGCCTGAGCTCAAGCAGATACTATTTGTGAGAGTCTGATATACCCTTTTATAGACATTCTTTCTTACATTACAACAAAGCATGTTCATTTGTAACAGTTACAAAACTCAAAAAATACTGCGTAACAGGAATGACCCAAGTATTCAAAGCCAAGGAGTGAATCTGGATTCTAGCTAATGAAGTACTGGCTGAAAAAGTGTTCTGATACGTAAAAGGAATGAGACAAGGCTCACTGCTGTAAGCTGGTCAAGAAATAAATAGTGCCTCAAGAAGGAGATGGGTAAAGAAGAATTTTAGGATTTTATTAATAGGTAAGAGCAAGGACAGCTGGCAGAAAGTTGTACCGTATATATTGCTAGATATATTAAAAACTAATCATGAAGTTCTTGCAGATTCTCTTTGTAACAACGTTCGTAGTTCGGGAAGAAGGAGGCGGGAACCGGCAGACACTTAAACAAAACTTTAATAATAAAATAAACACAAAACAGCCCCTCGCGGACGACTGTCACGCACAAACATAACCAAAACACAAAATAAAATCCAGACCTGGTCCTCTCTCGTCCAACACGGTCGTCACTCCTCCCTTTTATCCTTCCGGAGCTCCTCCGTGAGACTCGAGACCGGTGAGTGGTGCAGGTGTTGCTCATTATCAATTACTCCACCGGCCTCGCTCCGTTCCCACAGCTCTCGGCCCCGCCCCCACTCGTCACACTCTTCTTGTGCCGACCTGTGGTTAAAATAATCATCACCATTAGCACATTGTAAATAGACCACATTATAGACCATAACCCAAAACCCAGACCAAATCTTGACCCAAGTAACAAGATTCGAATCAAATCCACATTTATTTTAAAACCTCAACATCAAGAATCTACAAAGATTTCCATTAAATAATAATCAACTAGTACAAGCTGTTCTGTAGAGCTGACAGCTGAGTATTTAACGATGAGATCTCATTAGCGTTTGGCAGTCAGATCCACTCTGAGGTCTCGGGTTAGTGTTGAAGGACCTCAAGACAATCTTTCACAGTTCACATGTGATTTCTCCCTTAACGAATTAGAAGGCAGTATGGTGGGGGTAAAAGTCAACTAACACACTGGATTAGGGTCAGTAAGGTCAAAGCCTTTATATCCATGACTGAGATTGAGGGTGTGAGCGATCTTGTCTAAGCACATTTGGTACACTAATTGTAAAAGTTGAGTTTGTGATTGCCCCACAATGTCATCTGAACTAAAAATTGCTGTCTCTGTCAAGAAAATGCACCCATGTGTGCAAACAACTGTGGCACAGAATTCAAATTTCAACATTCTTGCAAAATAAAATAGAAATAGTCTTATCAGTTTACTTGGGTGTTGCAGTGATGTATCGGATGGTAAATCCATGGTGCTTTGACATACGGTGGCAATGATTAATTACCATTTCCTCTTTTACCATTACCATTTTCTACCATTTTCAAGACTATCACAGTATTAATATTGTGTTTGTCAAAAATTAGGTAATTCCATAGTACTTTAAATAAGTAATTTGTAACAACAGCAGACTATTGGATTATGCTGAATGTTAGACTATATGTTTGCTTCTGTGTTTTTTTTAGCATTATGAGCCATATGTTTGTTGTGGGAAGCTCAAAAATCCTGGCTGTAGAGCCAAGTGTCTAAGTGTCCAGTCCTCACTTAAAGGGATAGTTCACCCAAAAATGAAAATTCTGTCATTCATTACACGAGCGTGTGGCGGCGCCGGCGCCGACCCAGATCCGGCGTGATGACATCATTACGCCGGATCTGGGTCAGCACCGCCACACGCTCGCGTCATGATACTGTCGTGAACGCGTGTCCAAAGTGACGCAGTAGTGACGAAGATGTGGAATAAAGTCGTTATTTTTGTTTTCTTTGTGCAAAAAAGTATTCTCGTAGCTTCGTAACTTTACAGTTGTCACACAGTTGACCACTGATGTCACACAGACTACTTTGTCGATAATCTTGGTACTTTTCTGGACCTTGAACGCAGTAGTTACCTTGCTGTCAATGGGAGGGTCAGAGAGCACTCATATTTCATCAAAAATATCTTAAATTGTGTTCCGAAGATGAAGGAAGGTCTTACGGGTTTCGGACAACATGAGGGTGAGTAATTAATGGCAGAATTTTCATTTTTGGGTGAACTAACCCTTTAAGTGGTCAATCCTGTGAAATCCTTTCCTGTCAAGACCGAGACCAGAACAGGGTCCAGTCAGAGTTAAGGCTGAGTTTAGAAGAGGGTTGAGTACGAGTCAAGACAGAGACCAGAGAAGAATCTTGTTCTTGTCATGGACTCAGGAGCATGTGAACTCTTCTGTTCTGGTTTCAACTGTAACACTGGTAGCTGAGCTTTAACTTTTGCGATGAAAGACATGTTCATTTATTCAGACAAGAACGTTACTGTTACGCAAAAAAAAGAGCAGTCTGATTGTATTACTTACTGATGTGTTTTGTTGCAATAATACAATGTTGTTGTTGTTTTTATATCAGCATGTCAGGAAATCGTGTGGGAGGCTTTCAAAACCTTCTTGGATCGCCTCCCAAATCAGGACGAATACAAGAGCTGGATGAGCCAGTGCCAGACAGAAAGACTCTCTATACAGGAGATTGGCGCTGCCTTTAGCCAATCAGAAGAACACTTAGCACTTATCCACAAAGTATGTAGCATAAGACCTGTATCATTAACGTTGTACTAATTATATTAGCTGATACTTTTGGTATGGATAGAGTATCATTGGTGACTGGTGCATGTGCATATCTGACGTCTTGTCTTTTGAATATTTATGGTTCATTACAGAGACTTGCGCAGACGGGGCTGAAAAGGTGCATTAACATTTTAAAATGTTAAAAATTTAACATTTTAAATGTTAAATTTTAAATGTACAATCATTTAATCATTTGTACAACCATCCTTGTACAAATACCCTCTTCCCCTCAGCCATTTATTTAGTGTAATTGTCTTACTGAGTCTGTTTTTCTCCTCACCATTCGTCTTCCTCTTTCTTCTCAGTAATACACCTACATACTCAGTATGCAGGTATACACCCTTTATCCCTGTTCTTTATTTTTTCATTAAATGTACTATGCATTAGAGAACTTGTGTGTGTGTGGTTGAATAGTTAACTCATACATTTGAAGGTTTTTTTAATTTTCATTTTTTTTATACAGACCTGAGGAGTCTTCCCAAGAGCAAGACCATGTGCCACCAGGTCTGTCTATTATGATTGTTGTTGCTGACAATTTCTTACATAAATGTATAAAACCCTTACAAAATCTTCCTGGTCAAATCTCATGAAAACTGTGAAGAACATGTCTGCATATTTTTGATTTTCAGCATCAGAAAGAGCTTAATTGCCGGGTGTGCACAATGATTTTTTTGGCATTGTGCCAAAATTTTCACAACCATTAATATTATATTAATTAATTTTGCATTATTAATCATTAAACTATTTAATATTAAAGCATTATTTGTAAAAGTTTAGATGTTTAGCTGCTTGCTGCTGTAGAATGAGTTACTGGTGCACATTTGTTGTGGCAGAATAGAAATTAGAAATTTGCATAGACGCAAACTCTTCACCTCATAGTGACAACTCACTTTTTTGAGATCAAAATAGGTCACCTATGAGATTTGCTTAGATCCAACGAGAAAGGGCTTTTATGATGGTGGAGGGTGGGTCTTACAAGGGTAAATAAAGTACTGGGGCCGGTTGCATGAACTTGTTTAGACTAGTCTTAAAAAGCTATTCAGCTAATGTTTTTTTTCTTCAAGACTGGTCATAACTTTTTAAAGGGGTCATATGATGTTGCTAAAAAGAACATTATTTTGTGTACTTGGTGTAATGAAATGTGTTTATGCGGTTTAATGTTCAAAAAACACATTATTTTCCACATACCGTAAACATAAAACCATGTCTGCATTTGTGATCGGAGAAATGACAAACAACAAGCGCTACTCTACACTGCTCAAAACTCGCGTTTGAATCATCAGTGGCAAATCCTTTAAATATAAAGACGTACTTACAGTCTGTGAGTCAGAACAGCCGGCATTGTAGTCTACTCTTCCAGGATCAGGAAACAGTCCTCATGCTCCGTAAAATGCGTTGCACACATCTGAATATTTGGGTTGAACTATTCAACAATACTACAGCGAGAATATAAGTTACGCCTTCTTTCTTTGCGTGAACCTTTGGGCGGCGTTATGCAAATCTTCGCACATCGTGACGTAGACATGTGGGGCGTGTTAGAACGAGCCGTTTTAGGTAGGTGTGGTTGACTCTTAACTTTTATAAAGAATATCTCTTTGGATTTGAGACTTTAGTCTTTGCAATTTTACAGATCTTCTTTATGCACCAAGAGCTTGTAACACTCCAAAGAGAAAGGAAAAATTGAAATTGCATCATATGACCCCTTTAAATTCAGTTATGAAAAGGTAGATTGGTCTTGTTTGTGTTGGAAAAGTAAAACTGATTACCCCTTGGCAACTGCTAGTTGGTCAAATTAGTTCTTAAAATACAGTCTTACAATGGTGGCCCCTGGTTGTTTCACTAAGTTTTGTATAGTATTTTCTTTACACTTTACTTCAAAAACTATGTTTAAAAAGGGTAATATTTTATGTATTTGAGGTCAGAGATGTGGGAACGGTGAAGAGAGAGGGGGCAAACATTTTGCATTTTAGGTCAGCATTGCTGTCTAATCAGCCAATATTGTCTTAAATACCCTGCATATCACTTATATATTCCATCATTCCATGACCAAATATATTCAATCTTGATTTTTGTAAAATGTTGCGACAAGATGTTAATTAATTAATTAATTAATTTTTTTTGCTTGTGAAAAATTACAGTTTTGGACATATAAGATAATAAAAAGTGTGACCCTGGACCATAAAACCAATCATAAGTAGCACGGGTATATTTGTAGCAAAACCAGTCTTAAGTCGCTGGGGTATATTTGTAGCAATAGCCAAAAATACATTGTATGGGTCAAAATTATAGATTTTTCTTTTATGCCAAAAATCATTAGGATATTAAGTAAAGATCATGTTCCATGAAGATAAAATTTCCTTCTATAAATATATCAAAACTTAATTTTTGATTAGTAATATGCATTGCTAAGGACTTCATTTGGACAACTTTAAAGGCGATTTTCACAATATTTTGATTTTTTGCACCCTCAGATTCCAGATTTTCAAATATTTGTATCTCGGCCAAATATTGTCCTATCCTAACAGAGCATACATCAATGGAAAGCTTATTTATTCAGCTTTTAGATGATGTATAAATCTCAATTTCAAAAAATTTGACCCTTATGACCATCACATGGTCATAAATAATAATAAAAAAAAACCTTAAAGTAACTACAAATGAGCATGTAAAGCAAATATCTTTAAAAGGAATTCCGTGTGGAGCATGCCCCCGATCCGCGCAATGTTCTCACCTTTTTTCCCCCTTACCTGTTTGCATCTCTGCTAATGGCTGTAAAGTAAAAAGGATAAGATACTTGGCTTGTAGGGTTTGGTTTGCATTTCATTTGAAACTACTGAATGTCTAAACTAGAATATTTCTAGAAAAAAATATTTTTGATGATAGCAAGACCAAAACTGTGGTCTGAAATCGGTAATGCTTATAACTTTTCTGAGGTTCTACAGGGCTATTTTGATGCAAACTTAATGTGTGCAATTCAGATTTAAATGCTGTAATTGGAAATAAATAAACTTGAAATGATCTTTAACAAGCTTTTAAAAGATCTTATAACATTTGCCTGCACCCCAAGAGACAAATAATTATCTTCAAAACTTGGTAGGTGATGAGCTCCCAGCAGAGACCACTGTGGTGGTGACCACGGCGCTTCCACATGAGGTTGTCTCAGAGAGTGTGAAGGAAGTTACTGCAGAAGCACCATCTGCTGTCATGACAATGGAGATGGATACTGAGGTAGGTGTTTGGCAGGCTGAAACATACTGTTCATACTGATATAAAGTCAAGTCTGGTTCTAATCTGATGCACTCATGAGTCATGATACATGCACAAATATACATATAACTGAATTATGAATACTGAACACCTGCTCAACAAATTGTGTGTGTGTGTGTGTGTGTGTGTGTGTGTGTTGTCTGTTGTAGATCACTAATGAGATTGAGCAGGAAGCAGCTGCTTCGCCTTCACATCCTCTGGTTGAGCAGAAGGTGGAGCTGGCTATGTTATTGACTGGAGAACCATGGAGTGAAGAGCTGTTCAACTCCACCAGCAGTGAGCATGGCAGACTCACTCACAAGATCACAGAGAAGGTACAACACACCCACATACTTGCTTTAATTTTTACACAAATGTTATGTATAATGGTTGTTCTGTACCAACCTTAATTACTGTATCATTTTGGTTTTGTGTTGCCTGTTTGTCATTTCATACAGATTTCAGCTGCTTTGAAGAAACTGACAGAATTCAAGAGTGTATCGGTATTGAACATCAGGTGTGTTAGTGCATGTTTAATTTTGTTATTATAGTTGCATTTAAATATTGTATGAATATCACTGCATTTGATTACAACATACGAAACCAAGTAGCATTTTAAAAATGACAGGTCAAGCATACAGTTCAAGCAAAATGTTTTTTTTTATAGAAATAATTGTTTTAGATTTTAAATAATAAAATAATAGATACACTATATAAAATGTACAAGAATTGAAACACTTCCTGGTTGTCAGATTGGAGCGCATGCCATAGTTAATGAATAATAAGACAATATGCAGCATTAGCCTATGACCTGCTGCAGTGGTAATTGTGCTAAAAATATGAACTTTATCTTTCCTGTAGGCCACAGATGGATCCCTCAAGGTAAATTAAACTTGATTGTGTGCATGAATGCAGGTTAGTTCGTTGAGTTAGAATAAACAAGCAAGAATCATGTTTATAGTCATACAATTACTATGGATGTCAATGGGGCATTAAATTATTCTGACATAAACACTTTAAAATATACAGTGTCTTGAAAAAATTGACTCTAACATTACAACTGATCATGTGAGACTATTGTGATCGTCACTTGTTAATTTTTTCTGTGCAAAGCTATATCCAATACAAACCCATAGACATCCATCGTAAGTGCAGTTGTTGTCTTCTCTCTGCAGTGGTGATAAGGCAGTATTGGTGGAATATGTTGTGTCCCTCCAGACCAGCAGTGAAGAGATCAGCAGTGAGACACTGGACTTCATTAATCTTCAATCCAACATGGTAGAGGGCACCTTTAGTTACTCAGAAGGGCCCACTGTTCAGTACACCATTATTGACATCCACCCCGACATCACTGAGGCTCTGCATGGTACTGCTCTATCTGCTTGTAGCTACTAGTCCTCTACAGTACATCTCAGCAGTCTGTCATGGTGTGATGTTCTCTTGTCAGTGGAAACCTTTCCAGAGGAAAGCCATCCTGCAGAAGAATCTCTAGACCCTGACCACAAGGTGAATTACATTTATGTCACGGTGGCAGTGAAGTCACCAACTACAGTATACCAACTAGATATTTACATATATACTCAACAAGGTGCACAATTTGAGATAGTATTCTTGACACAGAGAATAAGAAATGTGGGCGAGTTTTGTACCAAAGTTTAATGTTTAACAATTTCAACAAAACCCTAACTCTAAGAATGGAAAAACAGGAACAACTTTTAAGGAACAGTAACTTCAAAAAAGTCTGGGAATCAACTGTTTTATTTTGATTATTGTCTAGGATGATATCTTAGCAGTAGAAAAAACATCTGAGCTGCCTGGAGAGGTGATGGAGGTCTTTACTATTGGTGACCTTTTGGATTCTACAATGTCAGAAGAAGAAGGTATGGGAGTGCAAGATGTCATCATACCTTATAGACCATGCCAGCTGTAGTTCCTCAGAGGATAAGGACCAACATTCACATGTACAATGATTTATGGCAGAGTTGTACAATCCTGCTCCAGAAGGGCTAGCATCCTGCAGAGTTTTGTTCCAACATTCCGACACACTGGAATGTTTCTAAATTCTGCAGGACAGTGGCCCTCCAGGACCAGGATTGGACACCAACATTTACACCAACATGGTGGTGAAAGACCCAAGACTCAAGATGCTTGTTTATTCCTACTTTCAGACCTTCAAGACAAGGACTTGGTGTCACAGTTTCTTCCCAACCTGACTCCTGCTGTGGATAGTGAAGCTGTAGGTCCCATTATTTATGCCAAGCAAGACAGTGGCTTGACAATTGATGATTTTAATCCCGCCTCTGGATCTGGTGCAGAAGACGATTGGGTAACTGTACTTACTAGGGCTCAAGAGCCAGTTGGAGAGACAGAAGGTGAGGAAGAGGTTTTGATTGATGTAGACACGCCACAGATTGAGGACTATGAATTCTCCACAATTACTACAGTGGTTGAAGAGGACCAGATCTTGCCTGAGGAAACTCCTGAACTGAATACTGTTAAAGCTGGAGAAGATGGAAATCTACAGGTTGGTAGCGAAGTGCCCACAATGCCGCCAGTCAAAGTGGCTGAGGCAGAATCTACCCTAAAACCCGAGGTTTTACCAGGTACCTCATCACATACCCTAAAACCCGACATTATACTACCTGCAGAAGAAGAGAGGACAGAGGAAGACAACGAGGAAGAAACTGTGTTAACAGAAATGCGAAAGGATGAGGAAACTGAAGTTGCTGTGATCATAAAGGAAGAATCAGAGGATGTTGAAGAAGAGGAACAGGAAGAATCTATTGACAGTACCACAGTGGCACAGGAGGATGATTTTGTACTAAAGGATGTTTCAGCAATACAGTTTTCAGAGGAAGTTCTAACAGAGGATGAGATCCTATTGGTCACCATTGAACCAGCAAGCCCAGTCTACCCAACTCCTCTTTCAACTGAGAAAGAATCACCCTTCTCCCTCATCACCACTATTACCCCAGCGGAGGTGGAGTTGGTGCATACCTTAAATTCAAAAGTTATGACTACATCTCTAGATGTGATTCATTACAAAGAGGAAGAGGGTAGTGGCATCTCTGGTGTCATCCAGGGTGATGAAGTTTCCAGCATAGCCTTGCCAACTAACCCTGGGCGGTCTTTGATAGTGTTTTTCAGTCTTCGCGTAACTAACATGATATTCTCTGAGGATCTGTTTAATAAGAGCTCTGCAGAGTACAAAGCCTTGGAGCAACGGTTCCTTGAACTGGTAGTGTACCTCCTCTAAAGTACATTTGCTCCTATTGTTTTTCCTCTTCCTTATCCTGCCATAACTTGTTATTCCTCTTCAAACACATATCCTGTCAAATCCTCATCAATCCAAATCAGGAGCTTCCAATCCTATTACTGGAGGGCCACCTTCCTGCAGAGTTTGGCTCAAGCCACAAATACACCAGAACTAGCTAAACAAGGTCTTCAGGATCACAAGAAACTTACAGGCATATGTGTTCAAGCTAAACTCTGCTGGAAGGTGACCCTCCAGAAGCAAGAATAGACATCCCTGATCCAGATTAAATTATTCACTAGTTCAGCTCCAGCCCTCGAGTTCCACTTTCCAGTTTGATCAAGGCTGGATCTAAACTCTGCAGGAAAGTGCACCTCGAGGACCAGAGTTGAGAACCCCTACAATGTTCTATATGATATGCCAGTGGTTCCCAACTCTGGTCAGGGAGTACTCCCAGCTCTGCACATTTTGCATGTTTCCCTAATCAAACTCGCCTACATTTATGCATCAGCTCATTAGTAGAGACTCTGAGACCTGAAATGAGTGTGTCAGATAAGAGTGACTTAAAAAATGTTGGGGGTACTCCAGGACCAAGGTTGGGAACCACTTCAACTCGAGTCCTGTTGTGCCAAACACAAACAAACAACCTTATTAAGGTGTTTGATCTTATCAGAATAGCTTGCAAATTATAGACTGGTGGGTTAGATTGGGATCGTTGATATAGTCTGCAGGGCACTGGCCCTCCAGGACTGGAATTGAAGAGTTCTGTTATGTACCATTTATGTTTCTGAGTTCATTCACTCATTATTGTTATTGTATGTCCCTCAGCTGGTGCCATATCTGCAGTCAAACCTCAGTCACTTCGAGAACCTGGAGATCTTGAACTTCAGGAATGGAAGTATTGTGGTGAACAGCCGTATGAAGTTTTGGAAGCCTGTTCCTCGTGGAGTCAATACTGCTGTTTTCCTCATTCTAGAGGATTTCTGCAACACAGCTTACCAGACCATGAACCTCGCCATTGACAAATATTCGTTGGATGTCGAATCAGGTCAGACAACATCAGAAAATCTTAGTCAGTTTGGTCCTACATCCTATATATTATGTATTTAGGTACCTCATCACATGCCACCTTAATGCTGTGGCTAATCTATGTGGGTTATTTGTTTTAGGGGAACAGGCAGACCCGTGCAAGTTTCAAGCATGTAATGAGTTTGCTGAATGTACAGTGAACCAATGGTCAGGTGAAGCTGAATGTGTGTGTAATGCTGGTTACTTCAGCATGGACGGACTACCCTGCCAAAGCATCTGTGACCTTCAGCATGACTTCTGCTTGAATGATGGGAAATGTGATGTCATTCCAGGCCAAGGAGCCATCTGCAGGTTTGTATATTTGATTATATGACACTGAAGAATTTTTAAATGCAAATGTGTACATTTGAAAAAATTAATTGCAGATCATACACTGTACAGTTAGGTCTGTAGTACCTGGAGAACAGCATTCTCATTCATCTTAAACTATGTAGCTGCAAGACTGGCATTGTCTTAAGGTTTTTAAGTTTGTTTGTTTGTATGTTTGTCTGCTCTATAGATGCCATGTTGGGGAAAACTGGTGGTACAGAGGAGAACATTGTGAAGAGTATGTTTCTGAGCCACTCATAGTTGGCATTGCCATAGCATCTGTTGCCGGGTTCCTTCTGGTGGCGTCAGGAGTAATCTTTTTCCTAGCAAGAACTCTGAGAGACCAATATGACAAGGATGAGACGGAGGACCCAGTACGGTAAGACACATACTGTATCACAGTCAATCTGGTAAATCACGGCTTCATCCTAACTCGCATACTTTTACTGTGCATTATAATATTCTTTCTAATACGGACTTTGTCTTATGTAAGGGAACTCCAGTTCATGAAAGATTTACCTCAGAAGTCAGAGCCTTCAGAGCTGATCACCTGACACAAACCCTTGATTAGAGTTTGACCTTGAGTGAAGTAAAGCAGCCTTGAGCTTCTGGAAAGGTGCTATATAACTAAAACCAATAAAAAATTATAATTCAATCAAATAAAAATGTAACCATTAAATTGTAACAGCGATGAATGAGAACATGCAAATTAAAATAAAACTAAGGTTTCAATTTTGCATTACACACTAAACAGGGTCAAATCTATTGAATTATTACATTATATATAAATATTTTGCCCAAGCAGCTTTGGCATGTAAATAATTGTTGGAACAAATATTTATAAGAACTGTCACTTAGGAGTCAGTTACATTTTCATTAAATGCTCATTTATTACTCACATCTTTGTAATTACTGCATGTGCAACACCTTGGAAGAAGCTTCCATCTCCAGTAATTCCATTATGAGATTTTCATTAATTCATCAACTAGGCTGATCTTTGATCCCTTGACTCTTTAAGTCATGGCTTCTTAATCTTGCGGATGTCTGTTGCAACCTTTTTTGTGTGTATCCATGTTTGTATGCAGGAGAGAGGACAGTCCACCATTTCTAGACATGGCCACTAAGTATAACCCCATGTTTGAGAGCGATTTAACTACAGGCTACAGCCATTACTACCAGCGGTACCCCGAGCCCCCAGTCCACAGCAGCGCCAGTGCCGAGGCATCCACAGAGTTCAGCAGCGAAGAGATACGGCATATTTATGAAACCAGTGAACTCACTAAGGAGGTATGGGTCTGTGCATGCGTATGTTTACAACAAATTATTTTGTATTCAACACTTTAGGTGAGCAAGTGAAATTTTGTGTGAAAAATGTAAGCGAGTATGTGATACATGTTTCTGGGAATTTCTCTTCCTGTCCATTCCATAGGATATTCAAGATCGCATCCGCATCCTTGAACTCTACACAAGAGATCGCCAATTTGCAGATTTTTTGAAGCAGCATCAAATGTGAGTATTTTCTTTCACAATGCCTTATTAATAACCTATAGCTTTGCTTATTTTCACCCCTCATGTAATTTTATTTTTATTTTATCAGAGCAATGGATAATCAAAGAGAAAGTTCCTCCAATAGTCAATAGCAGTCCAATGTCCAATAGCCTGCTGAGTGCAAAACAATGAAGGTTTGTAAACAATGTTATGAGAACAGCATGTTACAATGTAACAGTATGTTTTGTGTCTCCAGTGTTGCATCTAGTGCAACACCTATGTATGTGTTGCATCTAGTGCAACACATACATAGCTTCCGGCTTCGCTACCGTTCGGACGTTCTTGCTTACTGCTCTGCGCTTTGCTCCCTATTTCTGTACTTTTCTTTGATTTTTCTAAGATTTTTACTTCAGCAGATCAGCACAGTGCTCAAACAACATATTTTTGGCACAAACACTAAAACTAAAAACTCTCTGGGACTGGAATAATACCACGAAAAAGAAGACTTTTGCCTCCCACTGCCAGCAGCTTACATTCCGGAGAAGGTACCTCATCACATGCCACCTTAATGCTGTGGCTAATCTATGTGGGTTATTTGTTTTAGGGGAACAGGCAGACCCGTGCAAGTTTCAAGCATGTAATGAGTTTGCTGAATGTACAGTGAACCAATGGCCAGGTGAAGCTGAATGTGTGTGTAATGCTGGTTACTTCAGCATGGACGGACTACCCTGCCAAAGCATCTGTGACCTTCAGCATGACTTCTGCTTGAATGATGGGAAATGTGATGTCATTCCCGGCCAAGGAGCCATCTGCAGGTTTGTTTATTTGATTATATGATATTCAAGAAATTTTGAATGCATATGTGCACATTTAAGAAAATTAATTACAGATCAAATCCTGTACATTGAAGTCTGTTCTACCTGGAGAATGGCATATTCATTCATTTTAAAATAAGTAGCTGTTTGTATGTTTGTCTGCACTGTAGATGCCGTGTTGGGGAAAACTGGTGGTACAGAGGAGAACATTGTGAAGAATATGTTTCTGAGCCACTCGTAGTTGGCATTGCCATAGCATCTGTTGCCGGGTTCCTTCTGGTGGCGTCAGGAGTAATCTTTTTCCTAGCAAGAACTCTGAGAGACCAATATGACAAGGATGAGACGGAGGACCCAGTACGGTAAGACACATACTGTATCACAGTCAATCTGGTAAATCACGGCTTCATCCTAACTCGCATACTTTTACTGTGCATTATAATATTCTTTCTAATACGGACTTTGTCTTATGTAAGGGAACTCCAGTTCATGAAAGATTTACCTCAGAAGTCAGAGCCTTCAGAGCTGATCACCTGACACAAACCCTTGATTAGAGTTTGACCTTGAGTGAAGTAAAGCAGCCTTGAGCTTCTGGAAAGGTGCTATATAACTAAAACCAATAAAAAATTATAATTCAATCAAATAAAAATGTAACCATTAAATTGTAACAGCGATGAATGAGAACATGCAAATTAAAATAAAACTAAGGTTTCAATTTTGCATTACACACTAAACAGGGTCAAATCTATTGAATTATTACATTATATATAAATATTTTGCCCAAGCAGCTTTGGCATGTAAATAATTGTTGGAACAAATATTTATAAGAACTGTCACTTAGGAGTCAGTTACATTTTCATTAAATGCTCATTTATTACTCACATCTTTGTAATTACTGCATGTGCAACACCTTGGAAGAAGCTTCCATCTCCAGTAATTCCATTATGAGATTTTCATTAATTCATCAACTAGGCTGATCTTTGATCCCTTGACTCTTTAAGTCATGGCTTCTTAATCTTGCGGATGTCTGTTGCAACCTTTTTTGTGTGTATCCATGTTTGTATGCAGGAGAGAGGACAGTCCACCATTTCTAGACATGGCCACTAAGTATAACCCCATGTTTGAGAGCGATTTAACTACAGGCTACAGCCATTACTACCAGCGGTACCCCGAGCCCCCAGTCCACAGCAGCGCCAGTGCCGAGGCATCCACAGAGTTCAGCAGCGAAGAGATACGGCATATTTATGAAACCAGTGAACTCACTAAGGAGGTATGGGTCTGTGCATGCGTATGTTTACAACAAATTATTTTGTATTCAACACTTTAGGTGAGCAAGTGAAATTTTGTGTGAAAAATGTAAGCGAGTATGTGATACATGTTTCTGGGAATTTCTCTTCCTGTCCATTCCATAGGATATTCAAGATCGCATCCGCATCCTTGAACTCTACACAAGAGATCGCCAATTTGCAGATTTTTTGAAGCAGCATCAAATGTGAGTATTTTCTTTCACAATGCCTTATTAATAACCTATAGCTTTGCTTATTTTCACCCCTCATGTAATTTTATTTTTATTTTATCAGAGCAATGGATAATCAAAGAGAAAGTTCCTCCAATAGTCAATAGCAGTCCAATGTCCAATAGCCTGCTGAGTGCAAAACAATGAAGGTTTGTAAACAATGTTATGAGAACAGCATGTTACAATGTAACAGTATGTTTTGTGTCTCCAGTGTTGCATCTAGTGCAACACCTATGTATGTGTTGCATCTAGTGCAACACATACATAGCTTCCGGCTTCGCTACCGTTCGGACGTTCTTGCTTACTGCTCTGCGCTTTGCTCCCTATTTCTGTACTTTTCTTTGATTTTTCTAAGATTTTTACTTCAGCAGATCAGCACAGTGGCATTCATTGAATGAGCACTGTGCTATGTCCGAACTGATTGCACTATATTCTACGTATTATCGTTTTCTTAAATTCATTTTAAACCTCTTAAATCAATTTTTTAAATAATTTTCAAAGTTTTAAATTCCTTGTTTTATTGTTGTGATTATTGTTTTTATTTTATTTTATGTAAAGCACTTTGAATTACCATTGTGTATGAAATGTGCTATACAAATAAACTTGCCTTGCCTTGCCTTGCCTTGCCTAGTGTAAACATCAATGGATCTTTAGGGCATTTCAGACTTTTATTATTATTATTTTTAAATTATTCTAAATGCAGTGTTTGTATTGATTTGCGTCATATGTTCCTCTTCCAGAAACTTGGGTTGTCTTTCAGGAAATGGCATCTTAGTGATTCCAGAGCAATTTCTCTTCAGCCTCTCTGAGACTTTGCCATCGCAAATTAAAATGGCTACCTTCTTATTTTTGTTCCTTTTTTTTTTTTTTTTGGTTAAAGAAAATTTTCTGTCATAGAACGGGATCTTGGTCACAGACAATATGCTTGTAATTGATTGAAATGTTTTGTTAGTGCCTTCTAATCTTATCTGTGGCCCGTCTCTCAGACAATCAATCTTTGGTGTTCAAAGAAAAAGATCCCTAATGCATTAATCCTGAAAGTTACTTGAATCACAGACCGTTAATCTTGTATTACCCTCTTAGTACATTACCTTTTAAACTTTCACTGCTTGTTAGAGATTTCAAGCTCTTCTGTATT